GTTTCTCTCTCTGGCTGCAAAAAAGCAATGGATCGTGTAACTGTCTTGTGCTGCTCAAACATGTCCGGAACAGACAAGAGGAAGTTGCTGGTTATAGGAAAATGTGCCAAGCCTCGCTGCTTTAAGGGGCTCAGAATGGACAGTTTACCAGTTGTGTATCGTGCGAACAGAAATGCATGGATGAGCTCTACACTTTTTAATGAATGGGTGAAGGATTGGGACACAGAGCTACAACGCCAGTCGAGAAAAGTGTTATTACTTCTCGACAATTGTGCAGCACATTCAAATTTGGATTTCTTGAACAATATCCAGATGGAATTCCTGCCTCCCAAGACCACATCTTTGACACAGCCAGTGGACATGGGCATCATAAAAAATTTGAAGACCTTTTATCGTTCAAGTTGGTGAATTACATCCTTGAATCAATTGAGGAAGGCTTGCTGACCTCATCCTCGACGGCCGGAGAAATCAGTGCAAAAGTCAACATTTTGCAAGCCGTTACATTCGTGGCCGAAACTTGGCGAAGAATGAGCAGTGCGACAATTCGGAACTGTTTTTCTCACTGTGGCTTTAAGCATATTGTCTCGGAGATGGATGTAGATATGGTGATTGTAAATGAAAATGACGGCGAGAATGTGGAGCTGAAACAAGTTGAAAATTACGAAGAATTTTTATCAATCGACAACGAACTTCAACTCTATGATGGAAATGAATGCGATGCTGCCATTGTTGCTCGAATAGCAGCGAAACACACGACAGCAACAGAAGACCATGGAAGTGATGAAGAGAACCCTAACGTGTTGATACCAGTCACAAAACAGGATGCAAGGAAATGCATTGAAACATTGCACCGCTATTTCATGCAGGAAGGAAATGAAGGTAGTCCTATTACTGCGTTACATGTTTGTGGTGATTTTGTGCGAATGCAGTCTGTTAAAAGAATGCGTCAAACCACACTGGATACGGTCTTCAAACGCTGAATGGAATTCGGTAATCCCTTTGTATAAAACTGTGGCCGAGTGGTCGGCACGTTTGCTTTCCAACTATAAGGTCACCGGTTCGAATCCGCGTAGGGGTAGGCGTCCTCGCGGTATACTCAGCCCGCGCGCGACTAGTGGTGGTCGCGCGGCAGCGAAGCGCCGTTACGGCGTATAAGCTGACACCTTGTATAAAACTGTACTTCGCATGCTGAATATCTTGTAGGTCGTTACGAAGAATTTGTTTGTAAATTTCTTTTTCAGTGAACAAAGTTCGTTATCAAAGCAATTCTTTTTTGTGTGTTTGCTATAAATATATGCCGCCAATACAGGTCATAATAGTAGTTTCCTATGTTATGTATAGCATGTCCCATCTTGTTACATCGGGTAACTTCGGTTAATCGGACCAGCCGCTTAATACGACCAAAATGGTCTGGTCCCGATGTGGTCCGATTAACCGGAATCGACTGTATATATGTATATACGCATGTATGTAAAGCTATATTTATATCCCGTGTAATGCAGAAGTATTGATCTGTATTTAACGAAGTGTTGGTAACAATTATGAACGGACGGGAGGAAGTTTCTCTTTAGGGGATGTGTTGTGTTGATGGTATTATTTCATAAAAATCAGACTTGGGGACGCTGAATGATATAGCGCATGCATTTCAGTTGAAATCATGACGTACGTATGCATAAGCAAATCAAATGAGGTTATACTTCTATGTTTGTATATGAAGTAAGTGGATCGCTGGATATTTGTGGATACGGCAGGTATGCTTATCAAGCGCACGTAAATCCCACAGATTTATCAACGTAGTCGCCACAGACTAGACCAACATTGAATGGTTTCTTTGCTGGACGGGTTCACTATGAGGGAATGGAAGTCCTGTCAAATGGTCATTATGTAGAGGTCAATTGGTTGCACAATTAGTGCTTCGTTGGACAATAAATGTGATACCGTGACCCCTAATGATAAGTTGCAGTGCACACAAGATGACGGAATGCACGCTGTGACATTGAAGTTCTTTGGTTATTTCAGAAACACCGGAGTGGTATAAAAAGTTGCACAACGGAAGCGCAATCTATTGCCCAGGAAATCGTTAGTCTGCAGTGAAAAGTAAGCACATGTGGATTACTGGGCGTTGCTGTCCTTCTGTCTGAGATGGCTCATATAATGGTTAGCGCGTTAGGTTGCACGCGTCGGGGATTGGTTAAACCATAATACTTGAGTAATGAAGTCATGATGATATGGTCATACGCACACACGTTTTGGTATGAACTACCACAAACGGGCTGGAGAACTAGTATCCTCTCTTGAGGAGTAGCACTGCGAACGCGGTGGACTATGGATTTAATGTAAGAAGGACAGCCATACTCCACTGCTGTTGTAGATCTCACGTACAACTGGAACGAAGCACTACCCTTGCCGTTGGTTAGTAAGTATATGACCGTCCACTGAACTGGTAGCAATGTATATACATCGTCTGAGTTGGGCTCATCAGCAATAGGTAGGGGCAGCTAGAGTGATTTGGAAGGTACTGCCCCCGAAACGGTTACCAATGGAATGCTGCGCAAATGGCATGTTAAATGAAGTAGTGATGTAGGATCGTTAATGTGTGTTGCACATTCCCTTCATGTATATGCCTTATGAGGCGGTTACCACAGCATACGTGATCACTGCTATGATGAGAAACTTGGAAACTGCGGAACAACAGGTTTAGGCAGGTTACAAGAGGAAGGTTGCATAGCATGCAATTGCCTAACGGTTGGCGGATGTCGATGCGTATTGATGGATGATGACGTTAGCTCTCAAAGAAAGTAATGTTAAGAGGCAATACGCTTACCGGAGGCGCAACGGTGCATATCTGCTGGGACAAAGGTGTCCTGGAGGCCGAGCGATAGTGCGGTATCACGTATATAGGTGGCAAGCATTCACAGCAGTTCCAAATGCCACTTGCGAAGTGGCTATACAGTTACCGGAGGTGCAACGGAGTAGATAGCGGCGGCGACGGTTACGTGCAGGGTTACCAGTATTGCCGGGTAAGGCATACACGCAGCACTGATAGTAATCAGTCCTCAAAGCGAATTTTTTAGAGCCAATAGACTAACGTAAGGTGCCACGAGTGAGATGGCGTCGGCGAAGGTTACGTGGGGGCAGATCAGCAGTTCGGATCAATCATATAAACAGCGCTTATGGACAGTATCTCGCAAGGCCACATGTGGACACACAATACAAGTATGGGAGGTGCTGCAAAGTAGATAGCGGGGACAAAGGTTACGTGCAGGCGGACAAGTATTACGTGAACACCTTTTGTAAGCGACAATTCGCTTTGAAGGGCCTTGTGCCAACGCGTATCCAACCAGTCAAAAAACAAGAACACTGGACAAGATGACGGTACTGTTAACGAACAATTAGGAAACAATAATAATACAAACCTCAATAGTAGCGCTTCCACTCAACGCAGTTTCAAAGGAATTACAATTCGGTCCGAAACCAACAAGAAAGGGTTTCAGATCGTCAATGCTATACGGAATACAGTATACTGGTTATATAGGACAAGTGAAGTTCACGCGATTGGTCAAACACAGACCGGATGAATGCCGGATGCGTGAAATGAGAGTGTGCATGACGATAATTGCGAGGATAATGGCAACGACAATTGGGGTGGTAGTTGGGGTGGTAATGGCGAAGATAATTGAGGGGGGGCGCTAATTGCGTTCGTAGTCCACACTCGAGGGTTGGCGGATGGCGGAGTTGAACACAGGGCATCGAAAATCCTTCTACACTCCCGCCAAATTTCGGACAGAAATTTCACCTTCTTGATCTTGAGGTACTCTGGCTCACCCTAACCTGCTCCATCCAATATGGAGAAGAGTAGGACTTACAACGGTACGCCTAAACTTCTCCACTTCGGTCTGTTGAACTCACTGTGTTCCTCCCTGAGGCAGCAGGTTCGAAAACCCACCTCCCACTTGCGGAAAGTCAACAGCCGGGACTGACCCCTTACCCCATTTGCTGCCTTCGATAAGGCAGATCTTTCTAACGTCGCTGGCTCAAACACTCTCCGCTTTAGTCTAACCGACACTGTCCTTACTAGGCCGTCCTCGGAGGTCTTACAACTCTCAACCACTGCCAAAGGCCAACTGTCCCGACAGAGCGAATCCCAAGTAACTAAATCCACGTCTCCATGCGCAACGTTGCTTTGTACTTTCGGCCACCTTTGCCTCAGGTACATTAACGTGAGATACTCTTTGCTCCACCTTTTCCAAATTAGTGTGGCCAGGTAGTTAGTTTGCCTCCAACATTGTGTATACCTGTTACAAAGCCTCGCTGCTGATATTCCCTCTGTATTCGGTCTGAGTATCAGCAGACCATTATTCATGAGAACTGGTTGATCAAGAGCGTCTGTCGTCAGCAGGTTAACAGGCCCACTGTTAATGATGAGCTCTACTTCGGCGAGGAACAGAGGGGGCACTTCCGATACTGCAACAACATGGGCTGTCGTGCGTTTATTTTCCACACTACCTGGTGTAGGGAACGATTTTATAGATGCATGCCACTGGAGTTCGCAACCCCACGGGAATTCAGGCCCAGCGAACCTGTACTTTAGCCGAAGGCATGAAAACACTTCTCGCGACAACTGATCGGCTGTATTGTCTTCCGACTTTACGTGCCCCCATTGATTTGGTGATGACACTTCATGAATAGCCGACAGGCGATTCGCGATAAACGTGCTGAATCTAAGGGACAGTTTATTTATGTAATACGATACAACTTGGCTCCCTGACCGGGAATTTCTCCAAGGAAGACCAAGCTCAAAATGACCCTTTACCAAATGCACGGAATTCTGCGCAATAGGCAAGGGGACGTTATCTTCCACTGAAAGTGCATGATCGCCTGTATCTACACGAGCAAAGTCGTTGTTGCACAACCTCCCTAACCGTTCTTCAACTGTCGGCCTACTAATATGGCAATCATGTACGGAATCAACGGCAGTTCTACCTTCTCCAACTGGGCCTAGCAAACGTATTACCCCTGGAGGCAGCAAATTGTTTGGCGGTGGAGGTTGGTGGCCGGTGCAGAATGTCGTATTTCCGCAGTGGCCCGTATTTTCCGCTGCACGAGATCGCTTTATCCTGCTGTGCGGCTCGTCATCGTCCTCATCATATATTAATCTACAACGTGGTCTCCGAACGGAAATCATTGTTAGCATGACACGAATCTTACGGTAACCGTATTGTTGATGTACCCATAAAAGCGGTTCCATCGGATCCCTCGTCCACAACCGCGCGCTTGATGCACGTAGCATGGACGCGGCCTTCTGGAAATGAGCTTCCTATATATGGTGGGAAAGGTGAACTCACTTGTCCGGCGAATAAAGTCAGCCTGAAGCTTCGGATCGCTTGGCTTCGGTTGTTTGTGTAGACGCATGACGTCCATATACTGATGAAGGCTGACTAATGGAATGACAACGAGCCGCCCATCAGCAATCAGCCAAGTGGAGCGGATAATGTAACGCGTTACTCCATCTTCGTCTAATCGCACTGAACGATAGGTTGGAGATGTCATTTGCGAAATACGATCTCGTTATTGTCAAATCTGCGCTCTAGGCGGTTAGGTAGAACTGTCACCTGGTGCTACCTGATCACAAGCTGTATCACTGCGGAGAAATATGTTGCAGTCCCAGTACAGGCGGATGTGCGCCCAGTGGAGGAATGAGGTGTTCATTTTAGGCGGTTCCAGATTCTTGCTCGCTACCGGTAGCACTACCTTCCATGCTCCAAAAGCCCAATCTTCGTCGCACATCGGATGGAATGAAGGTGTGCAGCAGGAGAATTATTTCCAGGACAGCTTCATCCACCATACATATGCACTTGCAGTATTTCGCACAAATACCTCTAGTAGACCTGATGCGGCGAACACAAACACTGGGCGATTTCCAGTTGCGCGTGTACAGATCACGTAACCCGGCGAATTGATGACATTCTACATAACCCTCCGCTGCATGTTCGATATGTATGATGTCGATCGCGTATGGCCAACCGTTAGCCAATATAATGTTCTCCGGATTACAATGAGCAATGATTTATCACGGGATAAAAGCAAGTGCTTGACACGTCCCGTAGGATGGTTGTGGTGAATATGATGAAATCAAAATATATCTGAGTCATCTACCGAATGTCTGCCTAGATGAATACTTCGATAAATTACATCAGTGTAAAATTTAAAAAATCGAGCGTAAACGTTCAGAAAGACACTGGGGTGCAGTGATCGCTGATGTAAGGCGTGAGGAAAGTAAAATATGGTCGTTCACTTGGGTCCATTTGATACATAAATCCTGCTGAAAAGCATGCTTGGCGTAATTCATAATAGAGGAGTTTAGGTAACAAAATGCTGGGAGCTAAGCGCAACATCCAATCGTTTTATTTGAAAACGTTCAGGGTAGGAGAGGATACAACTGAGTCTGGGAATGCCTTCCAGGGTTGGCAAACCCGAAGGGAAAAGTCATTCCGTCGACACTCTAGACGGCTGTATTGTTCCTTCAACTTTAAGCAGTTACCCCTGAGCTGTGTGTTGTGGCTAAGTTTCAGCAAATGGCGGCATACGTGGTTGGGGTCACTCAATATTTGATAAGCTAATATGAGATCACCGCGCAGTCTTCGATAGCGCCCGCTGAAAATTCCCAGCAAATTCAGCCTTCGGTGATAAGAGTGGTAGCGCAGACCCTGCACATTCTTTGTTGCTCTTCGTTGTGGTGCCTCTATCGCTTCTAGGTCGCGCTTCAACCAAGGTTGCCAAGCTTGGATAGCGTATTCAACATGCGGGCGCACGTAGGAATTGTGCATCATTGGGAAGATTGATGGGCCAAATCTCCCGAATGCCCTTCGCAGCATGCCGACGTGCTGGTTGCCTCTTTTCGCAGCTACCTCAGCCTGTTTTGAACAGTTGAGGTCACTCTGTACGAGCACACCAAGGTCACCTTCCTGGGAGCTGGCCTGCAATCCGTTTGTCCCAAGCAAATAGGTGTAGTTATGTCTATGGCGTAATTGTACAACGCGACATTTGTCTACGTTGAATGGTATGGCGTTTTGAACTGACCATTTCGACACTGTGTTAAGATCGCACTGGAGCCGTTCGTGGTCGTCCGGTCCTCTGATCCTTCGCCATATCTTGATATCACCAGTTGATAACTGAGATGACTTGACATGTCGGACAAAACCAAATTGTGTCAGCAACTTGGTTTGTCTGTCTCAATCCTTGGACGGATTTGCCTACACATTGCGGACAATACGATCTAATGCAGCTAAAACAGGTAACACTGATCTTAAGGATTTCACTGCAATTGTCTGCGCAACCTAGGCGACATTGACCCCTTGGAATGCTAGTCGTCCTCCTATTGTTTACAGCAAGGCCTATTTAAGCACTCACCTTGATGAATGTTGTTTGCGCCAGGGGTGACGCACGAATAGGTCAGAACACGCACACGAATTGAGAGTTGATAAAACACAAGGTAGCGAAGAGTGCTCTTTTCGAAAAATCTCATCAGGCGTTTACAATTATAAAATAGAAAGTTGAAGCGGGATAGGCTGATGAAGCGTGACAAAGATTAGCGAATCAAAGGGAGACAGAAGGTCAGCTTTCCTAATCGATAACTTGGTCGATGTGCTCAAGCAGCGGCTACCACAGTATACGTCGGCAGACATAGATACACACACATATATATGCTCACGAGACATAGGACGTGCTTTTCAACTGATAGGGTGACGCACTCATCACCCGGTGGTTGTCAGCGTGTGAAGTGGAAGCTGTTTGGAAGTGTGTTAGCCCCAGGGCAGAAGGAGCGCTTGAATAAGCGCTCTCTGTTTGCATATATATATATATATATATATATATATATATATATATATATATATATATTATACACAGTCTGTGGTACAGATATTGTGCCATCGGAATCATGGCTGAATAGGAAAACAATATGAATAATAAGAAAAGAGCAACAACAAATGCTTTTTTTGTCCATTTTACCACTCACAGTTTTTGAAATTTTTTTGAGTTTGTTCTGTTTTTAGGGGGAGGAGGAAGGGACACCGCAACAAACCGATGCACACGTCCGCCATTGACATCGATCTTGAGCCATAACTTCCAAGGTCTTCAACCAGCAAGTATCTTCATCTCTCGGACCCTAACCAGGTAGTCGACAACAACCGGCCGAGGCCAACTGTTTCGTCAACTTTTTCATGCGGCTTCTCCATGTTGTAGGCTGTCCACCAGACCGTCTCTTCCAGCCCTGTCCAGCAAGTGCAAACAACGCACGACGGGGGTAACGCTGGACAGACATGCGCAATAGGCGTCCCAACCACCACAGTTGATGCAGTGAGATGAGCTCCTCGAGCGAGTGGCTTCCACGTCCCAAGACACGCTGTCTAACTTCCAAATTGCTTACGTGGTGCTGCCACCACACACGGGCAATGGACCGCAGACAGCGGTGCTCGAAGACGGATAGCCTGCGCAAGTCATCTTTACGAATGGGCCAGGTCTCGCATCCGTACAACAGTACAGCACGAACAGTTGCACAATAGACCCGCCGTTTGATGGAGAGACGAATGTCGTGGCGACGCCACAAATGCCTCAGCCTAGAAAAAGCGAGGCGTGCTCTCGAGATGCGCATCGAAATCTCGTCTCCAACAGCCCCGCCAGCGGTGATGCAACTTCCCAAGTAGACAAAGCTCTCCACAACCTCTAGTGTCTCACCAGCAAGCGTGAGTGCAGGCAGAGGCACCTGCCAGTCTTGAAGGAGAGTCTTGCATTTGGATGGCGAAAAGTACATACCCTACTTTGATGCTTCAATCGCCAAGCGGTTTAATGCAAGTTGGACGACCTGTGGATCGTCACCCAGCAAGACGATATCATCAGCATAATCCAAATCAACAACTCGACTACCTGGGAGGAGCTCAAAGCCAGCGTTCAACGAATCGCCCAGAGCGTTCTTCAGGACATCCTCAATGGCAAAGTTGAATAGGAACGGAGAGATAGGGCATCCTTGTCGAACTCCACTGGAGACCACAAAGGTAGGCGAAAGCATGCCATAAGCCCTAACCCTGCCCGAGGTGAGACTGTATAGAGCGCGCAGTATGGAGACGAACTTCTCGGGGACACCGTTCCTCAGAAGGCAATGCCACAGTACTGTATGATCGACAGAATCGAAGGCTGCACGGATATCCAGGAACACAGCAATCGTTGGCCTCTGATACACATGGCGGAGCTCAAGAATCTGGCGAAGTGTGAAGATTTGATCGATGCAGCCGCGACCAGTGCGAAACCCAGCTTGTTCTTCTCGTTGCAACGATTCGCGTGTTGGGGATAGCCTGCGAAGTATGATGGACACTAGCAGCTTGCAAACGACAGGGACTAAGCTTATTCCTCTGTAGTTGGAGCAGATTGTGCGCAGGCCCTTTTTGAAGATGGGGACGACTATCGATTCACCCCAAGATGATGGAACTTTCTCTTTCGACCAAATTTTCGAGAACAAAGCGGTGAGTTCTCGGACCAGCGATGCGCCACCATCTTTAAATAGAGCTGGGTGAAGACCATCAGGGCCGGGAGCTTTATAACGCTTCATGTGCCGGAACTTTGCTCGAATTCCTGGTAAGAGAAAGGATCATTGGGGGTAGACCACCGGTCTCGGCGCGAGCGCCAGAGATAGCAGATGGAGCTGGGGGCCAACAAAACTGCGAGCCAAAATGTTCGGCCCATCGCTCCAACCGTCGTTGAAGATTGGTGCTTAAGGTGCCATCCTATTCGCATATTGTTTCACTTATACCAGATCGAACACCTTCGGTGACTCGATTGAGACGGAAGAGTTTTCTGGTATTACCAGAGACTAGCAAGTTCCATCTCCCTAGCTCGTTCACACCACCAAGCTTCGCGGTCCATTTGCAGACTCCTGCGCAACTCTCGACCAAGGTACTGACGTTCTTCACTGTGTCTGGAATACGATGGGAGCAAGCGGCGTCTGTCCATCAGCGACAAGGAGTCGGCGGTGACGGGTAACTCCACAAGTGTCGATACTGGCAGAAACTAACTCTTCTTTGGTATGCGCCCACTGCGAATCGAGATCACCGTCAATAGTTGAACCAAGCAAAATTGACAGTGAGGCTTGGTACCTGGTTAAAATCGTAGCGTTTTGTAGATTTGCGACGTCTGGTCGGTAGTGGGCTCGCTTAGGTGATCCTCCGAAACGCATGCAAATCTTAGCACGAACCAATGCGTGATCGGAGTCTAGAAAAGTTGACCAGTACGATCGGCAGTCCGTTACGCTTCCGCGCCATCTGTAGCTGATTGCTACGTGGTCAAGCTGGGAGCACTCTTGCGTTTGTGAGGGCGGGCACCAGGTAGCAGTGTGTCTCCTCGAGTGTCGAAAACTAGTGCTCGAAAGAAACAAGCGATGATCAGAGCAAAGAGCAAGCAACCTGTCTCCATTGTCTGATCAACTGCCACCGAGACCAAAACTACCCCCAATGTGGTGCTCGCTTGGTAGAAGGCGGCCAACCCGTGCGTTAAAGTCCCCGGCAAGAATGACTATATCCGTCCTTTTGGAGGAACGCAGAAGTTCATGTAGTTGTTGGTAAAAGCTATCTTTAACTGCATCCGGGCTGCAGTCTGTAGGGGCGTAGGCGGAGACGACATACAAGGCACGCTTAACATCTCGACGCCTGCTTACTTTACATGAACCTCTTAGTCTGACTGCACATAGCCGACTGTTGACTGGGATCCAGTCAAGCAGAGCTGAT